CATTAAAAACAACCAGTTAGCCAGATAGTGGTGGCACACAACTTTAATCTCAGCACTCGGGAGTCAGAGGCAGGGGATCTCAATGAGCTTGAGGCCAGCCTCAAAACAAGTTCTAGGACAGCCAGGACTGTTACACAGAGAAACCCTGTCTAGAAAAAACAAAACAAATAAAAAAAATAAATAAAATGTGGCTGAGAAGATAGCTCAGCAGGTAAAGGCACTTGCTGGGCAAGTGTGGTAACCTGAGTTTGATCCACAAACCTGTGCAAAGGAGGGCAGGACAGACTCCATAAAGTTGATCTCCCAGCTCCACAAGCACACAATTCTCCCCCACATGCCCACACTTTAGTCAATGAAATTTTTTTCAAATGTTATTCCCAAAACACTTCAGAGGCTGAGGTAGGAGGATTGTCGAGTTCCAGGACATCCTAATAGCAAGATGTAATCACAAAAAGGAGAGAGAGAGAGAGAGAGAGAGAGAGAGAGAGAGAGAGAGAGAGAGAGAGAGAGAGGCTGACAAAACGGCTCAGCAGGTGAAGGCTCTTCTTGCTGTTAATCTTGATAATCTGAGTTCCATCCCTGGAACCTATGTAAAGGAGGAAGGAAAGGACTAATGTCACAGTGTTATCCCCTGGCCTCCACACATGCCCACCACACCATAAAATTAAAACAAACAAACAAAAGTTCATTCCCACAGGCTGTGTACCTAATGGTGCCCTCTCACACTTTCACATGCCACACCAAAGTCTTCTCCATGGACTGTCATCTGTCCCCTGACTGCCAACTTGAGAAATCATCCGTCTTCTTAAAATTATGTGTATGTATATTGAGTGCAGAGCCTGCAGGGGCCAGAAGAGAGCTTCAAATCCCCTGTAGCTGAACTTACACAGATAGTTGTAAGATTTCCGACACGGGTGCTGACAACAGAACTCTAGGTTCTCTGGAAGGACAGCAAACATTCTTAACTACTGAGCATCCCCCCAACCCCTTTATTTGAGACAGGGTTTCACTATGTAGACCTGGATGGCCTGGAACTCAGTATATAGGCCAGGCTGGCCTTGAACTCAAGAGATTCATTTGCCTCTGTCTCTCAAGTACTGGGATTAAAGGCTTGTGACACCCCTTTGAAACAGAGTGACATGTAACCCAAACTGATCTCAGATTTACTACAAAGTGGAGGATGACCATGAGCTCCTGATCCTCCTGCCTCCACCTCCCAGTACTGGGAATAAAAAGGCCTGTGTCATCATGCCTAACTTAAAAATCCATCTTCAATGTATCTTCTGGCCCAGCTCAACAAGATATGCTGTTACACACACACACACACACACACACACACACACACACACACACACCGTTTGTGTTTTCACTGTTTTATTTTTTATTTATAAGCTTTTTCTTTCAGCCTTTCATGCATTCTAGATAACATCTGAGTTTATGGCTTTCTCATAGTCTCTAAATAGGGTCTCCCTCCAGTAATTCTTTTCTGTACCTGAAGTAGGATAGTAAAAGATTTCCTCAGAGACCTGATGTGTCCTCAAATAATCAAAAGTGAAGGTTTGCCCAGCTCTGGTCACAAGAATCCTATACAATGTGAGCACTTTCATGCCTTAGAACGGCACTAGGAGAGCCAAAGACTTTCCCACAGAATTTACACTTATAAGGCCCAATACCAGTGTGCCTGATCATATGTCCTTGAAGGCCTGAATTAGAAATAAAGGTCTTCCCACATCGATTACATTCATAGGGTTTTTCACCAGTGTGAGTTCTTTCGTGTTTTCGAACTGAAGTTGAACAAATGAAGGCTTTCCCACAGTATTTACACAAAAAAGGTCTCTCTCCCGTGTGAGTTCTTTCATGTTTACCAAGTGCACGAGGCGAATTAAAGACTTTTCCACAGCCCTTACATTTGTAAGGCCCACCTCCAGTGTGTCTTATCACATGTCCTTTAAGGCCTGAAAGAGAGCCGAAGGCTTTCCCACACTCCCTACAGTGGTAGGGTTTCTCGCCAGTATGAGTCCTTTGATGTCTTCGAACTGAGCCCCAACAACTGAAGGCTTTTCCACACTGTTGGCACTGATAAGGCTTCTCTCCTGTGTGGATTCTTTGGTGGGTTCTAAGTGAGCTGGGATAGTGCAAACCTTTTACACTCACGCCACACTTCTGGGGTCCACTTCCAGGATGAGTTATAATGAATTCACCAAGGCTGGTAAAAGAAAGGAAGGCTTCCTCATGTTCCTGACACGCATAAGGTTTGTCTTCAGTGTGAGACTGGTCGCTGACTTGGAAAGAGTGATTACTGCAGGCTGTCTTACACTGTTTACATTTGTGATCATGTGCTTCCTGTTTAGTATGAGCACTGATGGTATTCCTGGATGAGTGAGACATGAAGACTACTCCACACACACTACAGTCACAGAATTTTTCTCCAGTAGAACTTCTCTTTTTCAGATCATGGTCAAGAATTTGGCTGAACCTTTCTCCACAGCGGCTACCTTGTTTGCTGTCACCAAATCTCTCTATAATATGGTTGCTGTTGAGAAAAAAAAAAATCAGAACACATTACAAATGCTTTACTCACAATTTCATACTTACTGATATGCTTCAAATTCATATTTTTACCAGGGGGATAAAGAGATATCTCAGAAGTTAAGAGTGTGTACTATTCATTTCAATGCTTTTGTTTTTATTTCGTGTGTGTAGGTGTTTTACCTATTTGCTTACATGTCTGAACACCACTGTGTGCCAGAAGAGGACATTGGAGGACTGGAACTTAACTCCAGCTCCAGACCATTCCAATATCTCTAGCCCTTGCAGGCATGTGCGTGCACATACACTCACTTTTTTTTTTATTTGTAAAGATAAACAAACATGCAGATGGGAGGGCTTGTCTTTTTAAAACTTCATGACAAACTAACATTCTATGTCTGTGTATATGTGTGTACATGTGGAGGCCAGAGGTCAATTTTGCTACCTCATTTTCTGAGATAGGGTCTTCCACTTTCACAAATAACCAGCCAGCGTGGCTAGGCTGGCTGGCCAGTAAGCCAAAGCGGGTTGCCTATCTGTACACACCCCAAAGCTGGGATTAAAAGCACATGTCCCCACACCCACCTGGTTTTTTACATAGACTCTAGGGATCAAACACAGGTCCTCGTGGGTGCTTAGGAGGCATTTTACAACCTGAGCTACCAACCCAGCTCCTACACTTCTTTCATGGGACATTCCTTTCTGCTTTCAGTGAGAGTTACCTTAAGATTCACCCCTGATTTCTGTACCAGTCTTCAATATCCTGTTCCCATCTTTCTCCTACAACACGGAGGGGAGAAAATGGAATTATTAGAGAGACTGTATTATACTCTAGCACCATGAACTGATACAATGACGCTATAGCCTTTTGTTTTGTTCTGCTTTGCTTTGGTTTTGGTTTTTTGAGACAGGGTTTCTCTGTGTAACAGTCCTAGCTGTCCTGGAACTCGATATGTAGACAAGAGTGGCCTCGAACTCACAGAGATCCACCTGCCTGATCTCGGTCCAGGAACGCGGCCACCCCAGTCACCATGTGGAGGCAAAAGCTTGATGCAAACAGCAAGAAGCTTTATTGCAGTTGTTTAACAAGCTAACCCCACATTAGCTTGGGCCTTTCACCCATCCACCATAGTGGATGTCTAGGAAAGACGGCGAGAAGCCACTGTATAGAGATCTTATAGGGCAGCATAAGAGGAGTGTCTAGGGGTTCGCACAGGCTCCGGATTGGTATGCCTCCAGGCTTGGAGGGCTTTCCTTGTGTTGATTGGTCAACTGGTTGTTATGGCCCATAGGCCCTCCCAGGGTGGTTGCTATGCTCTGCGGGTCATTGCTGTGCACTTGTCCATAAAGCACACCCACAGCAGTAAAGCACAGCACCACCAGCTAACTTCTGATTGGTTCCTTGCCACCAGGCTGGCATCTGACCTCCTAGTGACTAAGGCAAGGTCAGGCAAGCACGTGCTATGTTGTTATGGCTGCTGAAATGGGGAGCTGGTCCCTTCACCTCTGCCTCCTGAGTGCTGGGATTAACGGTGTGCACCACCACTGCCCTGCTGATGCTTTGTCTATTTATCAGAGCATTCCTTTCTACATTTCCAATCACAGGCCAGCACTGATGGGCAAAGAATCCTGTCTGAGAAAGTAAGAAGCCGTCATCCTTACCCATAGAAGCCAAGTTCATAAAGATTTCCCCGACAACCTCTCTGTAAAGGTTCTTCTGTGAAGAATCCAGCAGAGCCCACTCATCCTGGGTGAAGTTCACAGTCACATCCTCAAAGGTCACCGAGTCCTGAAACACCCCAAATATGTTTACAAGAGGAAGAGAAACATACATGTAGCACAAAGAACCTGTTCTCAATCCATAAGACTGTAAGAACTCCGGAAGCTCAGGCCTCCAGGATCTCAGCCCAGGACGGAGGCCACCCGAATCACCAGGCGGAGTCGAAAGCTTGATGCAAAATGCATGAGGCTTTATTGTAGTTGTTTAACAAGCTAACCCCATGTTATCTCAGGTCTTTCATCCATCCGCCATGGCGGATGGCTAGGAAAGACAACTCGAAGCGTCTGCATAGAGATCTTATAGGGCAGCGTAAGGGGAGTGTCTAGGGGTACGCACAGGCTCAGGATTGGTGTGCCTCCAGGCTTGGAGGGTTTGCCCTGTGTTGATTGGTCAACTGATTGTTATGGCCCATAGGCCCTCCCAGGGTGGTTGCTATGCTCTGCGTGTCATTGCTGTGCACTTGTCTGTAAAGCACACCCAGAGCTGTAAAGCATAGCTAACTTCTGATTGGTTCCTTGCCACCAGGCAGGCTAACTTCCTAGTGACTAAAGCAAGGTCAGACAAGCTCGTGTCCAGCTGTTACGGCTGCCGAAATGGGGAGCTGGTCCCTTCAAGACATTTACTTAAGGGGGCACAGAGATGGCAGATGGCTCAGCAGTTAAGAAGCACTTGCTGCTCTTCAGAGGACTTGAGTTCAGTTCCCAGCACCCACACTGAGCTGCTCACAATACCAGCTCCAGGATATTTAACACCCTCCTCTGGCCTCCTTGCTGAGGGGAGAGGCAGCACATACAGCATATTCTAACACAGACATATACTGCCAGGGCCTGAATATGAATATGATATTTCTGATACAGGCCTCAAGCTCAATTCCAGGAGCTCAAATCTCCCATTGTCTTTTAGATGTCAGCTGGTTACTACCAGATGGTTTGGCCACAGTGGGGAATGGTTTCTAGTTTGTATAACAATAGACCTAGGCCCTGGGTGGGCCCACACCTATCCTGAAGGCTAGTGAAATGTGCCTGGTGGCAGAAGGCTTGTGCCCTTGTGGAATGTCTGAGGCCTTGAGTACGTGCTTCTAAGACTGTCTTGAGGATTAAAGGAAATATTTTATTTCAGCTCTATGCATGATAATAGATGTCTTCTGACAGCACCCCCACTTTTGGAAAGCTATTTAAGAGGATGCTTAAATAAACTGTGGTCTCCAGTACTGGCTGGGAGCCCTCCTGAGATGACAAGATGTCTCTGTCTCATCCTTAATACTGTTGGGTAGCTAGGGCATCCTGATCCACACTCCCTGTCTCAGGGTCAGACCCAGGGCTGTTAGGCCTTGTCTCCTCCCCCAGCTCTGGGGTCACAGGCACACAGCCATACTAGACTTTACACGGATGCTAGGAATAGGAACTCAGGGCTTCATGCTTCCACAGCAACCATCTTACCCACTAAGCCATCTGTCTCCCCAGCTGGCTTGTTGGCTTCAGAGCATGTCCAGCTATATTACCCCAGGCCAACATCCAACTCATGATCTTCCTACCAATTCTCTCAAATACTGGGATTGCAGCTGGTGCCACCATGTCTGACTTATTGACAGATATATCACAAGAATAATTTTTCTTTTTTCTCTCTACCCCACTTTAAAATTGGACAAGATGGGCTAGAAATATGACTGAGCAGTTAAGACCACTGGCTGCTCTTGCAGAGGACCCAGGTTCAGTTCCCAGAACCTACATGGTGACTCACAGCTGCTTGTGACTCCGGTTCCAGAAGCTCTGGTACCCTTTCTGGCCTGTAAGTGCAAAGCAAGATCCAGACATACATTCTGGCAAAATACACACATAAGAGAACAATAAACTTTCAAACATATAATTGACCAAGGTCATCAGCAGGAAGACAGAAAGAAGATAGAAGGGAGAAGCATGAGCACTTTGACCCTACAAAATCTTCCTAGTGCTGAGACTTAGAGCAGCTCCACTCCATCCACTCCCATTTCAGGGTGAGACACATGTTAAGATGAGGTACCACAACAGCTCCTTCTAGCAGAGCCAAACCCTGTATTGGCCTGGCTCATGCTGAGAAAGAGATTAACAGCTATGTTTCTCTCAGTTTATTAAATTGCATTTATTTATTGGGGTATGCATGCCATTGTGGGTGTGGACATCAGAGGACAAGCTTGTGTGAGTAAGTTCTGTCCTTTCATCATGTGGGCTTTGGGTATTATCTCAGTTACTTTTTTATTGCTGTACTAAGACACCATAACCAAGTCAACTTACTGAATAAAGTTTATTGGGGCTTACAGTTTCAAAGAAAAAGTTCACAACCATCATGTTGGGGAGCATGGCAACAGGCAGGCAGAGTGCTGGAGCAGCAGCTGAGAGCTTATGTCCTGATCCACAGGAATTCAGAAAGAGAGATGCTAAAAATGGCTCAGTCTCCCTCCAGTGACACACCTCTTCCAACAAGGCAATACCTCTTTACCCTTCCCAAAGTTTCACCAACCAGTATTCAAACATATGAGCCTATGGGGGCCATTCTCATTCAAACTAACACAGGGCTCAAACTCAAACTTGGTGGCAAGTACCTTTACCTGCTAAGCTATCTTGTTAGCCTGACAGCTCCAATTTCTGACATAGCTGAATGGGGATCATGATATTGTTAGACCCCCAAAAACTCAAGTATCCGGGGTCTCAGGCCAGGTTCGCGGTCACCCCAATCACCAGGCGGATTCGAGAGCTTGCTGCAAACTGCATGAGGCTTTATTGTA